GCCTTACAGTTGACCCCCCCCCGGCTACCCTCACCTGCTAGCCCGCTAGGCTAACACCGTGGTCGCCTCTTCAATGGTCAGCTTTATCTGTATCTTAAGGATGCCCTGTGCGCTATTTCTATAGAACCGTCTGAGCATTTAGCGCTTATTTATCATAAGGAATGAATTGGTGGAACTTGCTCAGGTTAAAACTTCCTAATATTAAATAGGACTATTAAATGAAGTGAAACAGGCTTGAGGCTTGTTGATTGGTATAGGCGAATTTTAGGTCCCGCACCTTTAATTCTAGAAGAATCCGTTTTAGTTATCATTTCAGGTAAATAAGAATGGCCAGTAACGGCGAAAACGCAGTTACTTGTACATACACTCTGTCGAAGCACCTAGCTCGATATACGAGGGCCGATCCGGAACTTCTTAGTGTGGAAATTCCCATTCCACCACCGGAGTTCTCTGATGTCGACGAATATGTGGCGGTGTTCGGTGGACGAGGACTACTCGATGTTGTTGACGAAGTGGGTGGGTTGCTCATAGTAAATTCCTAGTGGATACAACGAATGAATTGACCTCCCTCATTCGATGAGTTTCTATGGCTTTCCTTTTCATGAACTGCTCCCATGGCGCAACATTTTGCGTTGAAGGTTTGAGCTTATTTCTTCATTTTGTTCCTCCTTGACTTGACTCTTGATCTTTGTGTTTTTTCACACATTTTTTTTCAGTTTTTAAAAGTTTTCTTTGAAGAATTGCGTAAGGAACTGATCAATTTTATCCGAGAGGAGACGCAGAAGTATCAGGAGAAAAGGGATGATGCACTCATCATGGAAGCACTGGAGAAGGGATTCGAGTTGCCAGATATAGACACAAATCAAGCGGTGAGTTTCAAGCATTTCATAGATTTTTTGGTCAAGTAGATGCGGAATGCGCTACAATTGACTTCCATATCCATCCTATTGTATGTAGTGTCAATTTAGTAGGGCATAGTTACTAGCAGTGGGATGCCCTATTTTACTCGCGTAGGATGTAATAGATAGGCTTTCACTTTTCAACACAATCTCAGCCCAACATTTATGGTAAAGCTTCTACTAAAACTCTTTAACTAGTAGTACCTACTTTCGGCAGATTGTTGCGGATCCCTCTGAAAGCTTCGCAAACAAGTTCTCATTCGTCATGCAGAATTCCTCTAGCTCCGAGTTGGCTGAGCTAATGCGAAGGCAAATCGCCATGGTGAATGAGGTAATTTTGCTTTTACTTGCTACGTGGCTATTACAATCTCTCATCTATAACTTTGTCTAGATGAATCAAATCATTCGAGTAAGGAATTGGGAAGTGACACAGTTGAGAAACAAATGTGAAAGTGCCGTCAACGATGCCTCTTCCAACGTGGACGTCCATCCTCACGAGCTCAGTAAACTTAATGAGAAGCTTAGAGTGAGTAGTTATAGTTCTATGAGTTCCTTGTTCCGAATTGCGCTTCCTAACGAATTTCCCGTAAACTGAAGTGAGCTAATGCGCGCATTGTTTAGAATCTTCATGCTTCCTACGCCTGTCAAGTAGAAGGACTTTGTGAACGGCAAAGGAAAGAATTCAGGTGCTTCCTTGGTGCTATTCTCTCCATTGTTCGAAGTAAACACCCTTAACCCTTTACCTTCTCATGTTCATGTGATGTACTTCTTTTCAACTTACTCATTGTTCATATTCCAGAGATCTTGTTGATGTGTTATACGAAGGTGGGAGCATTTTGGACATTCCAAGTTCTGTGGACAAGGGTGCGTTCAGGTGAGCCCTCTAGAGTAGATATGTCCATTAGAAGCCCACGTTCTACTTAGATTAACTTTTTAGTCGAAGCCCACAGACCAAATCCGACAGAATGGAAGAAACTTCTAGTGACGCGCTGAACGAAAGCTACACTATCTACATAGGTATTCTATTTGTTTTGGATCTTTGTGTATTTTCTCATTTCTATCAATGAGATATAATCGATAATTAAATACTTTCTTGATAAATTCTTCGAAAGCGACTCGTCATTCGATTTATTTTTTCTTCGCCAGTTTTGAATGATAAGAGTCTCGTTGTTTTAGCACTTCATTAGATTCATCAAAAAGGGTAGATCAAGTAATGGTTATGAATCCCTGTT